CCCCCACTCCCCATTGACTTCTCCCAGTCTGCTCCCATCCCCCAGCACAGGAATAGAACCCATAAAAATGTTAAGAAAATTATATTCCTTTATATTCTGATAATACATCCATTGTATCTATTTGAAAGAGGCCTTTTCTGCCCTCTTGTATACTTTGTTTTTAAATAAAAATATTTTAGAATACAGAAAAGTGTCAAGCTTTTGTAGGCATTTGTGTGTTAATTTTTGTGTAGACATGTGTTCAAGCCATTTGGGTATATACCAAGGAATTGCTGAATTGCATGATAAGCCTACATTTATCTTTGGAAGAAAATGCAAGGCTGTATTCCCAAGTGGCTGTACTGTTGTTGCGGCGTTCCCATGGCTCTGAATCCTTGCCAACACTTGTTGGTGTTAGTGTTTTGGATTTTAGCCTTTTTAGTAGATGTGGAGTGGTGTCATGTTTTAATTTTTGATTACCTAATGACCTTTTTACTATGTTGGTTGAGCGTCATCTTTCATGAATTTTATCCTCGGGAAGTAGTAGAACAATGGGATCTGTGACAGTAATTGTCATAGTCATGTGGTGGGAAAGGTCCATTTATCCATGGGCTGTTACCTTTTTGGTTGTTGCTTTTCCTACCTTTGGGGAGAAAATTTCTAAAGTCCCCTTAAGAATTTTAAGAGCCGGAGAGAATATCTTATATGACTTTATTTAGGTTTCTTCAAATTTGAATATGGTCACTTAAAATTATAGAACTATGTACCGATTGCTATAAAAGCTCCTAGTTAAATTGAAGAAAGCTTAATGTTGGAACTAGGGTCATTTGAAAGCTTCTGCTTCAGAAACTAACCTTTAGTCTGTGGACTCCAGATAAAAGTAGGCATGAATAAAATGACTAAGGCTATAATAGGGAAGAATACCCTGCTTATCCATCTCCGAGCCATAAGGTCATCTAGCTAGAGCTAGATTTCAGAAAAATCAGGGTGAGTCCCCAAAAAAGCTCCCTCCAGACCTTCTGAAGGGCCGAGTGTTCTGGGCTATTTGTTTTTGAAGTAACCACGCAGTAATTTTTATTTTTCAGCACTTCTAGAAAAGTCCAATGCCTGGAATAGAGGAGGCTGAAACTGGGAGAGGGCCTGAGAAGTGGAGGTGCTGTGTGTCTCCCTTTACATACTTTGAGGGTGGGGGATATGGACCAGAGCCTGGATGTAAAGAGAAGCCAACTACTGCTACCACCATCCTCTCCCAAGGCGGAACTAAAGAGAAACAGTCTAGTATTTCCCCATTGTCACCAGGGCAGTCATCAACTCCCACCACTAGAAGAGGCTATAAAAGTTTTGATGGCTCTTCATGGGGACCCAGTCAGGAAAGAGATTGTGAGAAATGTCTATTCTTTCTACTACCATCAACTCACCATCAGCATGATCTCAGTAATTACGTTCCAAATGGAAGGAAGGATGAAAAGCTGAATACAAATCACATGGCACACAATCTTGCCTCTGTAACTTGGTCCA